ACCAATTGAAGGTGTAGTCCATCCAGTAACAATCTTCATCCACAGATCATTAAGAAATACTCCTCATCCTTCATCAGGTAACTAACTGAGTGTGTACATGATATTACTTTATGTATGTATTCATCATAGCATCAGCCACTACTGCAGTACAAACTGGAGCACAAGCTAGTTCTAGTGTATCTACAGGTATTGTATTTTTCATTATTACTTGATTTTAATAATACCGTGCACTCAATAGATCAACAGGTCCACCAACCATCACTTGATCCTGCTGAACTAGCAGTAACTGCCTTTAAGAAACAGTTTGGTGCTCTATCTAAATTAATGTCAGTATCTTCTAATAGACTGGCAGTTGCTCCTGAATTATTTTGTGATTGCCTGATTACTGAGACTAGCTTTGATGAAGCTATTGATGATGGTCCAAAGACTGATCAAGCTAAAGGTTTATCACTAATGAAAGCTCTTAAAGCTACAATCAACCAACAACCAATAGAATCAATACTAGGACTTATTAATGTATTTAAGAAAGTAGAACCATTCAAACACATTGCACACAAATTAACTGAAGACACTCATCTTTAGTTGCCTTTTGATTAACTTCTGGTATCAATTTTTGTTAAGTTTTAATTTTGATGTTATAATATTTAGAAGCGCCTCTAGAGATTTGTACTATCATGTATACTATACTGTATACTTACTTTTTTAATCATTTGTAATCACATTTGTTCATTGATGTATAGTTTCACAACTGATTACCCAATGGGGAGGAATTGAGACTGAGCTTGCACTGTTTGTACTATTTGACACCACTACTTCTCATCACAGATACACACATATGTGCATGTACATACATTATACATAGTATCCAGTTATATCAACACTGGACTCCCTCACCTGTGCTGAGGTATCATCAGTTCATCACCTCTTGAAATTAGGAAAAAACCTTATTTAACATGTTAACACTATAAGCTGTTGTTTAAAAATAGCACAATCAGTCATTATGTCCAGCGCCTGTCATTTTCTTCACTTTCTTGTTAATTGTGAGATAAACCTCCTTTATCATTATCCTGTATTAGTTTAAACTGGCAGCTTCCGAGTCTTCCATCTAATTTACCAAACCAAACGTCTCAGCTGTGTTACCAAAACTAAGTACAAGAGCTGCAGTTAATCCTGTAGCAGCTGCTGTTGTACTAATAGTAACAGCAGCTCCAATTCCAAAAGTGAATAATCAAACTATTGCAGATGCTATTAGACCACTAGCTGCTGCTCCACCAGCAGCTTTTGCTACTGTTAATATTATTGTCATTGGCTGTAGTTCCCACCATTACACTACAACAGTAGTAGACAATTTTGCTAGTATTAAACTTGTTTTTGCATCAGAAATCAAAAAATTAATGTCCTAAGTTGACTACTAGTAATAAACTAAACTAAGTAATTAACAAATTGTTTCTTTCTACTTCTGATGCCTTTAAACTGCTTGCTCAGCACTCAGGAGTCACATTAATTGCAGCATAAATACTGCCAGACCCAAACCCAATTTGAGTGTAAGCTGATGAAATGTAATCAAACACAGGACCTACATACACTTGGGATATTGGCCCCGTTTTGTATTCCTTAATACTCCCAAGTCTAGAGATCCTCTGGTATCCTGGACCAACCCACTGCCATCTCAGGTACTCTGATGTGCTAGGATAGGGTAATGTACAGTAACTATAAAGAAACAACACTAAATGTTAATAATAAATTATTTGTATATAACATACGATTTTTTCCTATATACTCCCAGCCAGGCACGTTTTCCAGACAGTGTTTTCTGGGTGTTGAGTTCAGGATAGACATAAGTATAACTGTAGCTCAATGATATCCACAGTCTATTACTGCATAAGCTATATTCTTCTTCTGCTGCTGTTGGTACTGACTCAGGAAGATCAGGGTACACTTTCAATGGTTCAGGCCATTGCTCATCATCAGTATATTCCGGTTTCCTTATATGACTAGGAAGACAGTCTTGTTCCAATATTGGATAAAGCAAGTTACGCTTTTGCTCACTAAATTGAAACCAAAGACTTCGTAGATTCTCTTTAGTCAGTGTAGATTCAAAATTTGAATCAAGTGCTTTTTCAAGAGATTGCATAAATGATTTCATTTGAGGATCTATCTCATGCTCGTTTCTGCTTTCATAAGAAGCAGTTTTAGGTGGTGATGAATTGACTCTGCCATACATTATATTGCTGCATGCAGCCAACTTTTGATAGCCTCCTTTAAATAAACGTAACTCAAACTCCTCATAACGAGAGGTGGACTCCTCTCCATGCTTAGTACCCAGTTTACCGATGTAGTATGAACCTTGGGTATTCTTTCGAACCCACTGGTACGTCAGGTACTGTCTATCAGTAGTACCAATCTTGTAAATGC